TACTAGTAAGAAAAATCAAAAATATTTGAAACGACCTTCACAACAGCAATTTTATCATAGGGAAAAGCGACCCACAAACATTCAATATTCAGTCAATGACCACTACTGTTCTGAGTTTCCTCAAATGACCCACTTTAAGTTTAAAAACTGAAGCCGGAGATGCCCACTTGTGAACTGGAGACAAAACATGACTAATGTCGAAAAACGCTTTTCTTGCACCCATTTTTCCAAAGTTGTAAATTTAGCTTAAAGGAGAAAATCTTCTACTAATTTTATTGAGCAAAAAGCGCCACAGAAAATGCAAAGACGTTTCTTTACACAAATTACGGACATTATTAACATCTACAGGTAATCATCTACTGTAGCCCACTTTGGGCTTAACCCTTAAGAAACCTAAGCATAATACTATAATATATGAAAACGATACCTCCTATGTACAAAACTCCAGAAGAAAATTCCGCTGAGAAACCCATGTTAAGCAGTAGTTGCTTCATTTCGGATAACTTCGGATCGTTCACATAAACGACCTGTAAACAGCAATTATATCATAAAATTAATAAAATATCTCAAATTGTGATAGAAACACTCACATCTCGGAACGGTGCTTCACCGCTGAGCGCACTCAACATACATTTATCTATGTGTTGCTCGGTTAGGTGAGCATCTGCTGCTTGCTCATCAACCTGGAAATAAGACGAAAGATTTGAAGCTAAAGAATGATTATCGTGAAGCACCCACCTCCATGCCATCTTCTCTCTCCACACCAACTTCAGATGGTCGTGCAGTGATTTGAGCATCAATCCATGCCAGATCGGCATCTTTGACCTATAAAGGAGATCTTTGCAATTTCTATTCGGATTCCAAGCAAACGCGTGCACCTACCTTGATAAATTCCAAGCTTTCAAACAGCTCATCATTCAAAAGTATTCGGTAAATATGGGAAGCTACTGTAGCATCTACAGTTTCACCAACCGATGGAGCAAATATATGACCCTAGAACATATCATTAAATGTCAGAATTGAGAGTTGAAATAATTATATCTTGCGAATACAAAACTCATTTTGTTTTAGAAAACTAGAAAGCTGTTTAAAAGACAACGGATATGATTCGGAGAACCAGAAAGGAAAATTGATTTCGTGCGTTGAGGCGCGCGCGCGAGGTACTCCCGCTCCGCGACGTGCACTGCCACGAGCACGTGCTTAGATAACCTAGTCGAAAAAAAGTAAAACTGGTATCATTACAAACCTGAGCGATATTATTATCATAGCAATGCTGA